CGTATTCGCGAAATTTGACAAAATGTAAAAAAATATTTTTTTCTATAAAAATTGTTCAAACAAAAGTTGTTTGTAATATAATTCTCTATAATTCTTATCCTATAGATAATTTCTCTAAAATGGACCGTATTCGAGATATTTGAGAAAATGTGTAAATTTCGAAATTTGAAGAAAACTCAAAAATGGATAAAGAAAAAAACATTAAATTTTAAACTTAAGTTTTATTTCGGCCTGACGTGAAATGATTAGATTTTGGACAAAGTCGGAACATCTGGGGGGGTACTTTATGGGAGGCCGTTTTTATATTTTATGGAATATATCTGTTATTTATGTTTGAAGAAAAAAATTGTTCAAATAAAAGTTACTTCTAATATTATTATCTATAATTTTTGCTTTATGTAAAAATTTCCTGAAATGGTCCGTATTCGAAAAATTTGACAAAATGTGCAAAATTCTGATTTTTATGAAAATTGTTGAAATAAAAGTTGTTTGCGATATCGATCTCTATAATATTTGTTTATACATGATTTTTTTAAAATGGACCGTAATGGAAAAATTGTAGGAAAAGTGCTAAATTTAAATTTTTCAGTATTTTCATTTTCAATGAATATCTATAGAAAAATGTTTCGCGGTAGATGTATGTGGACAATGTATATATTTAGTTTATCCTCTAAACATTTATAGAGATGCTGCAATAGATTGTGCAAAATAACCGGAAAAAGCCTGTAATACCTAGATAGGAAAGTCATGTGTTGGACACATCAGATTTTTTAAATTTAAATCAATATTAAAAATTTTGGATTCTTGAAAGTAAACCTATAATACTCTTCACAGACTACTGTGTAAAGAGTATAATAATTAGAAAATAGGAGTTTCTGGGTAACTCGCGTATAAGGTACCTACATCAAAAACAATAAAAATATCTTTATTTTTAATTTTTAAACAACTAAATTCTTATAATAAACAAAATAACATTGTTGCAATAACATATACAAGGTGTCACATTAGTGCGTAATTGTTCAATATATCAGTTTGTGTTATATACACGGAAACAAGTTTCAAATAAAAATTATATGGATTTGAAAACACTTTTGTTTAAATATTTTTTAATATACAGGGTGTTGCATTTTTGCCTGGCAAATAAAAATAGAATACCCTGCATTTTATTTCCGTTTTAAAATGGTTTGGTAATAGTGTATTCAACCCTAGAATTGTTTTGAAAAATTATTACAGGTTTGCCAACCAATTAATTTTTTTATGAAATTAGAGAATGATGCAGATCCCAAATTAAATTATCATTATTAAGGTAGATTTACATTTATTTCAAAATAGTTTAATATACAGACTTATAAAATACTAAGCTAACGAATATTGGTGATAGAACTGGTTTATTTTATACAAAATGTTTTGAAACATGTCTTAAATATGGCAAATTTTAAGTTCAATTTACGCAATTTTTTCAAATGCAACACCCTGTATATTATTTAAGCATAAAATTCCTTATAAATTTGTCTATCCAATGATACCAACGTGTTAGCCAATAACATACATACAGGGTGTCCTATCAGTGTGTAATTGTGATCGATAGCTGTTTTATTACAGTGTTGATGAATTTTTACAATTTTAATTTTAATCTTGTGACGTGGTTATTTATAATCGTAGATATTAGATTTTATGTATATATTTATTTCTTTTCACTATTTGTCCCTAATTATTAGATCGTCCTATTTGACAATGTTTATATTTTTTATTATTTTAATATTTGACTGTTTTTATTTATATCTACTATTAGAGAGTGTTAACATGTTTTTCATAATTTTTTTATTTTTTTTTTTCACTGTACTCTGGTAATATTAATTTATATCATTTTATATGTTTTTTATACGTATGTACATTTATATATATCTATTTTTCATATTCTTGTGTATGACTTCAATGTACCACCTATTGTATGAAAGAGGTCAATAAACGTCTATTCTATTATTGAAATACGAAAACAAATTTTGTATAAAAGTTATATGACCACATTTAACAATTATTCCTAAATATACAGGGTGGTTCATAAACAAGGTGCTTACCAAAGCTATACTTTTTTAAAGCAAAACACATTGCAGTTAGTTATACATATTTGATTGTTTTCACATCGTCAAATAATTTTAATTGACTTTATTCATTTTCTATGCTGAATATAGGGTGTGTCAGAACGCGAGATTACGATATTCTCAATTTTTTAAATTATTAATTAATTGGTTTTATTACATACAGGCAGTGCCGGATTAAGACAACTTGATGCCCCAGATAGCACACGACGTCCATTGGACGTCCATATTTTGTCCAAATAATGTCCTGGATGTCCATGAACTTTATATGGATGTCCATTGGACATCCATTTTCCGTTATCCAATGGATATACCCATTAAGAAGTCCAATGGATATTCCAAAAATGTTCATGATGGACACTATAAAAATGACTAACTTATAATAAATTGTTATAATTCTTCTTGCATAATGTAATTATTTACAACTAGGTTTTAATTAAAATAAATCCATTAATTTTCCTCTCCCGTTCGCGTCTGTTGACAATATAGAAAAGTAAAAGGCCATTCAGGCCAGATTAGAAAAAGAAAAGAAGAAACAGATTAAGAAGAAAATGTAGCCCAAATGTAGCCCAAATGTAGCCCACAGATAATGTTTATCTGGTTAGAAAATAACTATAATTAACATTAAATTATTTAAAACTCAAAAAATTAAGAAGTAAATTGTTTGTTTTAAACTAATATAACCTATCAATTATGTTTAAAACTTTATATCTTCGATTTACATTCAAAGAATCCCTTTCTTTTAGACCTGCTGTCAAATGATGTACCTACCTATTTAAGAAAATGACTACTAAAAGCAGTCTTCATACTAAAAGCTAGGTAACTAATGCTGCAAATAATTTCGTGTTAAACATTATTGTTTGGCAGTTATTCTCTAGTACATGGGTCCTTTATCTACTAGAAACTTCTATATTTGATGATATATTGTCACCGAAGACATTTTAAACGAATTTTAGGTACATAAGCCCTTCATTCACAGAAAAACACCATTTAAAAAAAATGTTACATAGGCCCTTCATTCAGTTGTGTCTTTAATTATTATTGTAACTAAGAGGTGAGAAAACTTTCAAAGCAGAAGGAAAAAAAATCAAGTTCCTATTTGTACTTCATGAGACATTTTTGTGCATATAAAACTAATACGTGTTTGATATTATTTATGACAATAAAAATAAGTCCATAGTGCAATTATTTTATTTCTTATTAACATAGGTGGTGATGTTTTTCAGATGTCTATAAATTGTCCAAAAGCAATACAAAAAGAGTCCATATATGGACCTTTCATGGAGTCCTAATAGACGTTCAGGAGTGGGACATTTATATATTCCAATGGATGTTCATTGGATGTCTTCGGTAAAATTCTGGACGTCCTCTGGACAGCCGATATGTCCATCAAAGGACTTCCGGTGGACATCCAATAGATTAACTTGTGCTGTCTGGGACCTAAAGTAATCCTGTGGGCCCCCCAGCGTTTTTAGCATATCTGACCCTATATATAATATTGATTAAACATCGGGCCTTTCCTGCAGTATCGTCGTTCTTTTTTAATTTTTTATTATTTGCAATTTAGAAAAAGATCGTTCCGCTGCGCGCTGGGCAGTTTTATATCATCAGGCATAAAAATATACGCAGGGCTTTGTCCACATTAGAGAACGCTGATTCAATTTTATCATCGTGTAATGTTTTATACAATAATTGTGCGTGAGTTTGATGTGACCTTGTGCGAGCCAAATCACTGGAACGTGTTTACTTATAACACAAATTAAACAATTACGCACTAATGGGACGCCCTATAACAAAATTATCTCGGAATTAGAAATTACAAACATTATTGAGTGTTTCTGTTAAGTTTATTAACTTTTTGTTTTTGCTATTTCTGCATATAACTACTAGTTTTCGAGGAAAAAAAATACAAATTCAAAACCAGGTATGTACCATGATATTTTATTTAAATTTTTTGTTGAAAAACTATTTGTTCTAAGTAAAAAAAGCAAGAAAACAAAATTAACAAACTAAACAACAATACAAATAAAACGAGAATTCTGAAAAATATTTTTAATTTATAAAATTCAACCCCACAAAAAAGTTCTAACTAAATAAAGCTGTTAATTTAACCCCATTATACCATAAATATATTACTGAAAAAAATAGTGTCTGTAATCATTAAAATTTCAAGTTTCTACATCAACTCAGATTTCAGAAAAAAAAAATAAAATCTCTACATTTTTGACTGAGAAAATTTTGTTATATGACCGACCCCTCGTAATTTCCAATGAACAATCTCCATCTTATATTTTTGCATGAATTTAGAAATTTAATACGCTTAAATGGGAAATGTTAAATTCTTAGGAATATTTGTTAAAAGTTTCTTCTTCTTTTTTAAAAATTTCACTCATTTTCCAATAAAACACTTTTATAATTTAAACACTGTTTTATTAATATTTGCATTTATACAATAGTTGGCAATTTTCTATAAGAAAATACCACAATTTTTATTTTCTAAAAACATATCACAGGTAAAAAAAAACTTATATTAATTTATTTCCCACTGTTGTCGACAAAAGGAGAATGTTTATATTTAATATTATCACAGTCTTAAAATACAACATACAGCATTTTGTATCAAAAATAATAATTTTGATAGGAGTAAATGCTATCTCAATAAAGGTAGATTATGTGCATAATTTTTAACTTTCTAATTTTCAGTTTGATTATAAAAACTCAAATAAATTTACTATCAAAAGATTTAGCTCAAAAGTTCTTTAAAAAAAATTTAATGTATTTAAAATTTATCTTTCATTCAAAATGTTTAGCTCTACTTACAATAAAGCAATTCGAATTCAGTTGTTGGCTAAAAATTTAATTATTTATTAAATATTTAATATAAAAGCAACTTCAAAAATGTTATTTCACAACTTTGATTTGATTAGTTTTGGGACAAGAAAATATATTAAAAATGTAATCCTTCAACTCCGAAGCTGATAAACAAGGGGTTCCATCAACTTTCAGAACTGGAATAAAGTAAAGAGAAGCTAAAGGAGTTTCTGTAGTTTCACATTTAGTACTCACACTTTCGCATTCGGTGGTAATTTCAGGGCACAATGCAGTTGTTATATCTTTTTCTGTAGTTGTCTCATCAGTATAGCATGTGGTTTTATCTGCTTCTGTAGTTGTTACATCTTCTTCTGTAGTTGTCTCATCAGTATAGCATGTGGTTTTATCTGCTTCTGTAGTGGTTACATCTTTTTCTGTAGTTGTCTCATCAGTACAGCACGTGGTTTCATCTGTTTCTGTAGTTGTTACATCTTTTTCTGTAGTTGTCTCATCAGTATAGCATGTGGTTTTATCTGCTTCTGTAGTTGTTACATCTTCTTCTGTAGTTGTCTCATCAGTATAGCATGTGGTTTTATCTGCTTCTGTAGTTGTTACATCTTCTTCTGTAGTTGTCTCATCAGTATAGCATGTGGTTTTATCTGTTTCTGTAGTTGTTATATCGTTTTCTGTTGTTGTCTCATCAGTACAGCATGTGGTTTCATCTGTTTCTGTAGTTGTTATATCTTTTTCTGTAGTTGTCTCATCAGTATAGCATGTGGTTTTATCTGCTTCTGTAGTTGTTACATCTTCTTCTGTAGTTGTCTCATTAGTATAGCATGTTGTTTCATCTGTTTCTGTAGTTGTTATATCTTTTTCTGTAGTTGTCTCATCAGTATAACATGTAGTTTTATCTGCTTCTGTAGTTGTTACATCTTCTTCTGTAGTTGTCTCATCAGTACAGCATGTGGTTTCATCTGTTTCTGTAGTTGTTACATCTTTTTCTGTAGTTGTCTCATCAGTATAGCATGTGGTTTTATCTGCTTCTGTAGTTGTTATATCTTCTTCTGTAGTTGTCTCATCAGTACAGCATGTGGTTTCATCTGTTTCTGTAGTTGTTATTTCGTTTTCTGTAGTTGTCTCATCAGTATAGCATGTGGTTTTATCTGCTTCTGTAGTTGTTATATCTTCTTCTGTAGTTGTCTCATCAGTATAGCATGTGGTTTCATCTGTTTCTGTAGTTGTTATATCGTTTTCTGTTGTTGTCTCATCAGTACAGCATGTGGTTTCATCTGTTTCTGTAGTTGTTACATCTTTTTCTGTAGTTGTCTCATCAGTATAGCATGTGGTTTTATCTGCTTCTGTAGTTGTTATATCTTCTTCTGTAGTTGTCTCATCAGTATAGCATGTGGTTTCATCTGTTTCTGTAGTTGTTACATCTTTTTCTGTAGTTGTTTCATCAGTATAGCATGTGGTTTTATCTGCTTCTGTAGTTGTTACATCTTCTTCTGTAGTTGTCTCATCAGTACAGCATGTTGTTTCATCTGTTTCTGTAGTTGTTATATCTTTTTCTGTAGTTGTCTCATCAGTATAGCATGTGGTTTTATCTGCTTCTGTAGTTGTTACATCTTTTTCTGTAGTTGTTTCATCAGTATAGCATGTGGTTTTATCTGCTTCTGTAGTTGTTACACATTCTTCTGTAGTTGTCTCATCAGTACAGCATGTTGTTTCATCTGTTTCTGTAGTTGTTATATCTTTTTCTGTAGTTGTTTCATCAGTATAGCATGTGGTTTTATCTGCTTCTGTAGTTGTTACATCTTCTTCTGTAGTTGTCTCATCAGTACAGCATGTTGTTTCATCTGTTTCTGTAGTTGTTATATCTTTTTCTGTAGTTGTCTCATCAGTATAGCATGTGGTTTTATCTGCTTCTGTAGTTGTTACATCTTCTTCTGTAGTTGTCTCATCAGTATAGCATGTGGTTTCTTCTGTTTCTGTAGTTGTTATATCTTTTTCTGTAGTTGTCTCATCAGTACAGCACGTGGTTTCATCTGTTTCTGTAGTTGTTATATCTTTTTCTGTAGTTGTCTCATCAGTACAGCACGTGGTTTCATCTGTTTCTGTAGTTGTTATATCTTTTTCTGTAGTTGTCTCATCAGTATAGCATGTGGTTTTATCTGCTTCTGTAGTTGTTACATCTTCTTCTGTAGTTGTCTCATCAGTATAGCATGTTGTTTCATCTGTTTCTGTAGTTGTTATATCTTTTTCTGTAGTTGTCTCATCAGAACAGTGTGTGGTGTCATTTATTTCTGTAGTTGACTCATCAGTAGAACATTTATCATCAGAGCATGTGGTTCCATCTGCTTCTGTTGTGATTTCTTCAGCACAAGTAGGAGTTGCAGTTATACATGGATCTGTTGTAACTTTACCTGTACAATCACATTTTTCTGTACAGATTTGTTCTAACTTCTGTATAAAATCTTTCGCACATACTGGATCCTGTTGATTGTTAACCAAATGCGTCAGGATCTGGATCAAATGACCCAAGAGACAAGACTGCTCTGATGGGGTAATACCATGAGTACTTTTGCAGCATTTTGCGGGTGCTGCGTTAACAAAACTACATGACAATAACACTAGTAACCCGAAAAGGGTTACTGTTCGAGGACCCCACATTACCAAATGTGCAATTTTTAATAATAAAGCCACTTATATATTATTCTGTTAAAAATTACAAATATTCAAGCTTCCGCATTATGTTTTTGCGGATGATACGTATTCTGTGTTTAAGGAAGTATTGCCATTAATTATTATTTTGAAATTTATCACGGTCACGGAATAGGTATATTAATAAGTATGTGACTTCTAAATATAGATTCATTGACCTTTTGGGGAATAATATATTTGTATCAAATAACAAGTAGACAAATTTTTTACTATAATAAATTTCATTGATTGCAATATTGCAGATAATAATTTTCTTACTATTATTATAAATGTATTACAAAATATACATACCTATCTCTGTTTTTATTATGAAAAAATGTGTGACATAATTTTTTTAACGAAATACTGCTTTATAATTAAACACGAGATTTCTAAAAGACAAAATGCATCGTCGTATCTACTGTGATAGATAATATTTTAAATGTCAGGAATCAAAATAATCGTTTTTAATTTTATATAATTATTAAAAATCTGATGTGTCCAAGACATGACTTTCCTATCTAGTTATTATAGGCTTTTTCCGGTTATTTTGTACAACCTATTGCAGCGCCTCTATAAATGTTTAGAGGATAAACTAAATATATACATTTTCCACATACATCTACCTCGAAACATTTTTCTATAGATATTCAATGAAAACGAAAATACTGAAAAATTTAAATTTAGGATTTTTCCATTAGGGTCCATTTTAGAAAAATCATGTATAAACAAAAATTATAGAGATCGATATCGCAAACAACTTTTAGTTCAACAATTTTCATAGCAATCAGAATATTGCACATTTTGTCAAATTTCTCGAATACGGACCATTTCAGGAAATTTTGACATAAAACAAAAATTATAGATAATAATATTGGAAATAACTTTTATTGGAACAATTTTCTTTTCCAAACATAAATAACAGATATATTCCATAAAATATAAAAACAGCCTCCCATAAAGTACCCCCCCCCCCACCCCAGATGTTCCGACTTTGTCCAAAATCTAATCATTTCACGTCAGGCCGAAATAAACCTTATGTTTAAAATTTAATGTTTTTTTCTTCATCCGTTCTTGAGTTTTCTTCAAAATTCGAAATTTACACATTTTCTCAAATATCTCGAATACGGTCCATTTTAGAGAAATTATGTATAGAATAAAAATTATAGAGAATTATATTACAAACAACTTTTATTTAAACAATTTTTATAAAAAATTATTTTTCTTTACATTTTGTAAAATTTCTCGAATATGGACCATTTTAGGAAAATTTTGTATGGAACAAAAATTATAGATAATAATATTAGAAGTAACTTTTATTTAAACAATTTTCTTCTCCAAACATAAATAACAGATATGTTCCATAAAATATAAAAACGGCCTCCCATAAATTACCCCCCCCCCCCCCCACCCAGATGTTCAGACTTTGTCCAAAATCTAATCATTTTACGTCAGGCCGAAATAAAACTTAAGTTTAAAATTTAATGTTTTTTTCTTTATCCGTTTTTGAGTTTTCTTCAACATTCGAAATTTACACATTTTCTCTCAAATATCTCGAATAAGGTCTATTTTAGAAAAATCATGTAAAAACAAAAATTATAGAGATCGATATCGCAAACAACTTTTAGTTCAACAATTTTCATAAAAATCAGAATATTGCACATTTTGTCAAATTTCTCGAATACGGACCATTTCAGGAAATTTTGACATGAAACAAAAATTATAGATAATAATATTAGAAGTAACTTTTATTTGAACAATTTTCTTTTCCAAACATAAATAACAGATATATTCTAATCATTTCACGTCAGGCCGAAATAAAACTTAAGTTTAAAATTTAATGTTTTTTTCTTCATCCGTTTTTTTCAAAATTCGAAATATACTCATTTTCTCAAATATCTCGAATACGGTCCATTTTAGAGAAATTATGTATAGAATAAAAATTATAGAGAATTATATTACAAACAACTTTTATTTAAACAATTTTTATAAAAAATTTTTTTTTTACATTTTGTCAAATTACTCGAATACGGACAATTTAAGGAAAATTTTGTATAGCACAAAACTTATAGATAATAATATTAAAAGTAACTTTTATTTAAAGAATTTTCTTCTTCAAAGGTAAATAACAGATATATTCCATAAAATATAAAAATGATTATCTAAAAGTAACCCCCCCAGATGTTCCGACTCTGCCCAAAATCTAATTAGTTCATTGGACGTTTTTCTGTGTATCGGTTTATGAGTTATGGAGGATACAGACACACACAAACACACACACACACAAACACACACACACACACAAACACACACACAAACACACACACACACACACACACGCACGCACGCACGCACGCACGCACCCACACACGCACACACACACACGCACGCACCCACACACATACACACACACACACACACACACACACACACACACACACACACACAGACACACACAGACACACACAGACACACACAGACACACACACACACACACATATACAGACACACACACACACATATACAGACACACACACACATATACAGACACACACACATATACAGACACACACATATACAGACACACACATATACAGACACACACATATACAGACACACACATATACAGACATACACACACACACATACACACACACACACACGCACGCACGCTCACACGCACGCACGCTCACACGCACGCACGCTCACACGCACGCACCCACACTCGAGGTCGAAAAAAATCATGATGCCTATACTTTCCTTATTTCTGTATACAGATAGGAAAGTAAAAATTTTGAATCAGATAAAAAAATACAAAATTAAATACAAACTGATTGAGGTCAATATTCGCATTTTAAAATATTTATTTAAATCAGGCTTTGATAAAACAATACTAAAAATTTCTTAGTTATAATTTCTTTTAATTAGAAAGAACACACGAATTTTCGCAATTCAATCTTTTTTTAAAAAACAGATTTCTTTAATTTGTTTAATAATTTTATGAGGAATTTTTGTTTTTAATAGAAGTAGCTAAAATGTATTTCTTCTATCTAGAAAAAAATTAAATTATAACAAAATCATTATTATTAGTTATTCAAAAATCGTTAATTTTAAATGTGTTTGCCTGTTGATTTATAAATTTAATTCATTTTGCGATTAGGTCCATCTGGATACAGACTGTACAGGTGGTATGTTGCCTTAAAATTATTTTTCTCTATGGTAAAAGGACCCCGTACACCGCTTATGGAAAAGTGGCGACCTGTTAAATGTCATAAATATAAGCAAGTGTCCATAGGACCATTCAAATCCTATAACTGGTTTTTGAGATACAGGGTGTTAAACTTAAGAAATACCATTTATTTGATAACGGTTATTTCAGAAGAAAGCTAATCGATTATAATTTTTTGTGCCAAATCCTATTGTAACATCTTATTGTATTCTACGAATATAAAAAGAGGTAACAAATTATTTTCCTTTACAGGGTGAGCTACAAATAAGTAAGAACGTGTTTTTGATAATTACTTTTGTTCTGAAAGGTAAAAATATTTCCTAAAAAAATACATTATTGCTTTATGTATCATATCTGATGATAACACAAAAGATATTAAGTGCCATTTATACAGGGTGATTCATAAATATCGACATGGGCCAATATATTTTTTTTATAAGTATTAATGTAAAATACGGTACTTTTGTGTATTTATCATATGTAAAATTATCCAATTCATTAACTACAAAGGGTGATTTGATAAATATATAGATAGTTAATTTAATGAATGTGTCAAAAAAACGATTTTTTTAAGCACCCTTTACTTTTTGATTAGTCCTTTAAAAGTAGACATATTTTTTTCATTAGCGTATCAATTATCCTATAGAATATAATTTTCAAAATTATAGCTTTTTTCTGATAGGTTTTTGAGATACAGGGTGTTAAACTTAAAAAATACCACTTATTTGATAACGGTTATTTCAAGAGAAGGTCAATTAATCATTTTTTGTCTCAAATCTTATTGTAATATCCCTTGGCATTCTACGAATATAAAAAGCTGTCAAAACCTATTTTATTTTACAGGGTGAGCCACAAATACAAAAAATACATTATTAAGTGCCAGAATGATTTCACCACATAAACAATAAAAGACAATATCCAAAACATGTTATTCGATAGAACAAGTATTAATATATTTTGTAATTAAGTCAATTTTCATTATTATTTTTTTTTAACTAATTCTGGGTATTAATTTTGATTTTTACTTAATTTTAACTTCGTGGATATGCCCTGTATATCATCAGTTTTATTGCTGTTCAAACCATCGTCGAGGTACTTGGCCTGCGCGAGTTTTAATGGTGGGATTTGCTGGTAGTGGAAGGGCATGCGACGACTGAGCGAGCTCCGAGCAGGCCCATGACACTCCCTGGGCGGGAAAAAGACGCGCAGCTTTTACTGCGCTGACGTTTTCGGCATATAACTTGTCATAAATCCGGTTAAAAACTCGCTACCATGCGCAGGCAACCCATATTTCGTACACAAATAAAAACTTTTGTTTACATTTTATCGAAGTAGTTTTTGTAATACATTTACAGCTTAAAAACGGAAAATTTGTTATTTTGATAGTGGATTTAGATCAAAAATACCCCAAATACACTTCAGTGTGTGTTTGTTCCTTATTATTGCTCGTTTTATTTGAGGACATTGAAATAAATAGAGTACTAAAAGTAATCAAGCTAAAAAGGTGTGTTATAAAAAGAAAATACATTCGCTTCGACTGCTTTATGTTTAATATGTTTTCGTGAAGTATTTCCAACATGCTAGTTACTTGAATGGTTGTAAATTGTACGTGTATAAGTGATAAAAACATCTAGTGCTTTGTGCTTCCTTCTTTTTTTGTTGGTGTCCCAGCCCAGCATTCCTAGCCAGCAGTAGTAGTAAAAACATTAACATTGTCTACATTCAACCCATTTACATGTAC